GTTGGTCCCTTCCATATATTCTCTCCCGGAAATGTGTAGTTCTAGGGAGTTAGTATGGGGTCATAGAATATATATATATATGCCGTACAGTGGCATGCGGGAACAAGATGGAAAACACATACCGAGGCTATATATTTTAGTAGTGCTATGTATAAATGAGCTTCATACTAGCGAGATATACAGAAATGACTTAAGCCAAAAGACGAGAAGAACTCCTCCTATAGTAAAATAGTCCTTTGGCTATTCCTGAAGAGATAGATACAACAATAATATGATATTCTCAAAGCATACAAGGAGGATCCAGCCATTACCAGTGACCATCACAAATGGTATCTATTGGAAATGTAAAGAGATCACGAAAAACAGGTATATCCCAACAAATTTTAAATAAAGAGTAGATGATAAAATGCCACCATGTAGTTTATAGCAGGTACCGCTGCTAGGGTGGTTTACTGTAGCTAAATAATCAGAAACTCATGAGGTCTGGGACAATAAGCGCATTAGTACCGGATTGTATCACAGTTCAAACACAGGGAAAGGGGATGGAAACTAACCTCTTCCAAACAGGGCTCTCTTCGCCCAGTCCATAGCAAGCATACAGCGGGTACGCAGGCTGACACTCTCGGCAAAGTACACACTACGCCACAAATACATGGCCAGAACACCACCGCTGAAGTTCAATCCTCCGAAATCGAAGACGGCGGCGTTACTGATGTAGGCTAGACTGCCAAGGTGCTTGTACTTGAACGCCTTGTAGACGGCTTCGTCGAGGTCGCCGTGATCTATTTCGTTGGCTCTCATGCCGGGAAGCGCGGCGGCAATCTTGGTAAGTTTGCGACCTAGATACTCGCCTTGCTGGTTGGCACGCTGGGCAGTGGCAGGCAGGGATGTAAGTTTATTGTCGATCTGGTGCAGGAGCTCGGAGAGTTCACCGAACTCGAGAGTGCCGGAATGATCCTTGTCGTACTGTTCGAAGAGCCTGTCTAGCCGGCGAAGGTGGTTGGATGCTTGAGGGAAACGCTTCCTGACCCGGTTGGCGACGTCTCTCCATTCACGGAATGTGAGATGCAGCTTCTCTGGGTCTTTGCCTTTCTCCCAGGCGATTGTGCGCAAAAAGGATACGATATGGTCGGCCACATTGTTCTGAACTGTCGAGCAATCGCCAATAGCATACACATCACCAAGCGGGGCCCCGATCAGGCGTAGGTGTGAGTCAGTTTCCAAAGCGTGTTTGTTGTTCTGTGCATCAAGCTTGGCCGAGAGCTTCCTGCAAATTTCGGCTGGGGCTAGGGCAACGATAAGCTTTTAATGAAGCATACAAGAATGGGCTAGATTCACTTACCGACACCCGTCGACCACAAGCAGAGACCCATAGGAATTTCCTTCAGTACAGGCTTGCCATCCTCCATTTGGGTGAATACAACCTTGTCATCGCGAACTTCTTTCACTCGGGAATTCGTCAAGACATCAACATGATCTCGAGCGAAACGCGCCTGCACGATTAATAAGGATAGATTTGGCCGTATGGTGGTAGTATCAACTCACCTCAGCATACTTAGAAAGGGCTTCATCGTAAGTGTTCAGGATGTGAGTACGGCTTTGGATGATGTGGACAGAGATCTCGTTTCTCAAGATCTTGGGGAAGGAGTAGAGCAGGTCTTCGTTGAGCAAATCAAACAGCTCAGCTGCGAATTCAACACCGGTTGGACCACCGCCACAAACGACGAAAGAAAGTAGACGTTTGCGTTCCTCGTCACTGGTCGTCGGTAGACAGGCCAATTCCATGTTATCCAAAACTTGATTCTTGATCTGGCGAGCGTCATCAATAGTCTTTAGGAAGTGACAGTTCTCAAGCCCTTTAACACCATGAGGATTCGTTGTACAACCTGAATGACCGAGACGTTAGTGAACAGATTGTTCGGTAAAAAGGCTGGCGGAACTGCACACATACCAACACCAATGACAAGTTTGTCGTACGGGACATAGAAGTTCTGCTTTTGCCCATTGGCATCGACCTGGGACACCTCAACCAGCTTCTCAGAGAATTCAACGTCTACCGCCTCGCCTTTCAGAAAGTGACCATTGACCCGCTGAACGATCCGCCGGACTGGTTCAACGAGCGACCTTAATCCAAGAGTGCCGACCGTTGCAGAGGGCAACATAGGAGTGAAGAGGAAATAGTTGGTGGGCGAAACGACCGTGACATGGTAGTCGCCGGGATTCAATTGTTTGAGAAGAGCGATACTGCCCCAACCTGTACCTAGGATAACCAGCCTCGGCTTGTCCTTCTGTTCCGTCATAGCCTCCGAATCATAATCCCCAACCAGCACATCGGCAACAGGCAAGTTCTTGGGGCCGCCGCGCCGGGGATTCAGAGCCAACTCCGAGACCGGAATATCTTCAGCACTTGAGTGTTCACGGTACGTGGTCGCATCGTAGATAAAGAAAGCTACCACTGCAGCACCGCTCATGACAACGAAGAACCCACAATAGGCAAATGTCTTGACAAACGCATTTCGAAAAGAGGATTTTTGTGGAGCGTCAGTTGACTCCGGCGCTGTTGATTGGTGTCGGATCGAGTAGTGACTGTTGAAGAACGCACGCGACGCTAGGCATTGCGGTACGGAGGTTTGACGAAGGGGTAGAGCTCGGGAGGTAGCGAGCCTAGTTGATCCCAAGGGTTTTGAGGAATATAGCCGACTCGACAAAAACCCAATTCTCCTCAGCGCCGTTTGGTCCGGTCGACTCCGGAGCAACACTGCGCTCATGGCGTGCAGGGTGGCCAATGATGGCTACAAATTGCTCAGCACAGGAGAACAGAAACTGTGAAATGGTCAGGTTAAGCGATTGAGATGTAAGGCAAATAGCGAGTGAATTAGCAACCGGTCAACAGCAGAGAGAGAGGGAGAAATCTGGGGAGGAGGCCCAAGGGGAAAATAATGCAAGACGGAAGACGGAATAGTTTGGTGTTGTCGTTCACCGACGCTACGTCATGCTTGGGACTAAGCCTTTTTATTTAGGTCTTGGACCCGCCCGGATCCTTTGCCGGCTTGGTCTTTCGATCAAATCTGCTAACTAGTTAATGAAAGGTCGGTTTACCTAACACAATGGATGACCTCAAATTACGCGACAATTTGCGAAATACCTCGTCAGGGACATAAATCATGTATCATTTGGGGAAATAATATACTAGGAAAGAAAATAAAATAATACATGCAAGTCTTGTAGACAGCAACTAGTACCGCCCAAGACTTCAATTTAGGGAATACATTATATGGGAAACAACGCATAGTGATAACCTTTGACCTTATATGACGTGCGCCGCCACCCTATGGATAACCACCCAAATAACATGGTAGAAGAGATCAGAAGAAATATATGGAATACAAAGATGTCCATTAGCGCCCTTCAGAAAAAAAAATATATCATGTCACCGGGAATTTCAGAAACAAACCGTGTATTCCCCAACGCCAGCCCTATCCCATATGCGAGGTCTATGCAATAAACAACCAAAGAAATGAGCGTTGACTACGCCAGGCAGCCAAAAACAGCACGTAATTCCTTCAGTTCCAATCAGATTCGGCATCAGACTCTATGCTGGCTCTCTTCTTGCCTGATCCAGGCTTTCTCCCCCGGGGCCTCTTTGTGGGATTTTGCCCTGACATGGAGCTCTTTCGTTTCATAGGACGCGGCCCACTGGAAGTTCCAAGAGCTGCTGGGTCGTCCATATCAGTAACGCCGTCGTCAACTTCCGCTTCCATGTCATCGTCGACTTTGAATTCATCGTCAATGGCAAGCAATGTGGCGAACTCCCGACACTTGCTAACCATGTTCTCTTCGCTCTCCAAGGATGTCATGTTTCGATTGATGGCGTCCCAGCATTTATCGCCAGTCACGCCGTGGACCTTTGTGGCCGACTTGTTCAGCTCTTTAGACGCAGCTTTAGCCTCCTTGTTGCGAACGTGAGCAGTCACACCGTAAACGCGGCGGAGGTACGTGCGAGCTTCCCAGAGCATCGAAAGCGCCGCGGCTGCTGTAGCCAATTGCCGCAGAGCTTGTGGGTTGATCTGCTGCAAGGGTACCAGGTGGGGTGGAGGGTCTGCGGTGGGAATAGCTACTCCCTCCCCCTGTAGCTGTTCTAGCTTAGCGGAAAAGAGTTCCGTTTCAATGGCATGGGCTACAACCGTCCCAGTAGAAGCCACAATTCGCTCCATGCAGCCTATAGTCGGTACAAGCTCGGAAAGTTGTGCATACTCAAAGAAGGCGAGATTATGAGCCACAAAACGGGCTAGCAAAAGGTGCTCTGGTGGATTACCAGTGGTATCAAGCTTCTTAAGCTCGAAATTAACTTTTGCGCAGAGGTTTGAAAGAAATTTCTTCTGATACCGACTATTACTGATTTTGATGATCTCAAATAGTGGTGCCAACTTGGCAACATATGGACGGTTCAGCGCACCGGTGGAATCTCCGACAACGTCGCGTTGGTAATAGAAGGCCTCCTGAACAGCTCGCATGTATTCTCTTTCAAACATAGATTCATACTGTTGATGGAGCATTTTATGTGTCTCGAATGCAACTTTAGCGATAGAGGGAATAGTGGACGTCTCAAGTGACACTAGCACGCCTGCACACTCTTTTGGGTGGACAAGCCCCTGACGGTTGATACTAGCAATCAATTCGATAGCAGTTAGAGCATAAGAATCCTGTCGTGATTGCGCAACTCGAAGCATATTCTGAAGGAAATGCTGAGCAATCAATGCAGCTGCTCCATCATTATCGCTGGCCTTCAGCGAGCCGCCTAACCTCGTCGTGCTTTCTTGGTCCAAGGCTTCGGCAGAGGGCAAAACAGACTTTTCAGCTTTGCCTTCGTGCATTGCGAAGAAGTCTGCAAATGCCCGCAAGACAATATTCTGGAGGCTCGGGTTATTTTCCTTGAAAACCATGGATAGTATCCGTCTCGATTCATCTCGACTGAATTGAGCAGGCCAGGACTGGCAGATAGAGCCTAGGCTCTCTAGAGCCATTACTCTTAGTTCGAGAGGCTGTTTCGGAAGGGTAAATGGGATGATCGAATCGACCACCAAGCCAGCTACTGATCCGCCGTTCCAAGATGGGAAAGCGTTTTTGAAGTGTGGCTCATACTTTTCGAGATCACAATGTCGTCCGACACAACCCGCGATCCGGATATAACTTTTAGCTCGAGCTAGGACAGCCATATTGGCATTGTCGGAGAGGTCAATGTTTTTGTAATGTTGTATTGGCTTGAGCACAGAAATGGTAAGCTTCACGAGTCTGTCAGTATTCTGTAGAACCCCGTTGATAGTCCAAAGACAGGCCATCACTTCATTCAGTTCTGAGCGAGCAAGTTTGGCAACGCTCTTGAACAGATCATTTTGTACTTCCTTCAAGAGAGTGTTGTGAGCAGAGGAGAGGTATGGTAAAACACATCGATAAATCACAACCACAGATCGGAAGAGGAAGAGGTCTTCCGCAGTGGCAAGATGCCCAATGTAAGGGTGAAGAGTCTCCAACTGGTCGGGGCGGAATAGCTTCGCATTTGCCTTTGCGAACACAGTTATCGTCTGTAGGAGAGCTTGTTGGAATTCTTTTCCTGCATCGCTATCCTCCACCAGCTTTTCGAACATGGTAGAGACCATTGCCTTGCACACTTTGAAATTCGAAGACGATGATTTAGAGCTGTCGGACAGAATTTTTCTGAGACAACCGCCGAGCGTTTCGAGCGCTGTCTCGCTGCGCTGCACTAAGCTAACAAATAGTGTCACTCGCTCCCCCAAGCCAACCTTCAATTTAGGGCCATCTTGCGCTGAGTCAACAAACTCGTAGAAAGGGGCCAGCCAGATCTCCTCAAAAGTCTGACGAGCCAGAGTGGAGACACTCTCTTCAAGGTCTCCTGTCCGTTGAAGGAAGCTGTCCAGAATCGCTAACTTCAGCTCAGTACGTGAGGTCTTGAGATAGATGTCCTTAAGTAAACCAATGCATCGTTTTCTCACACCGGCGGTTGGATCAGCAGCACAGGTCAATATACTCCGACAGCCATCCTCTTCAAGTTTCGGTTTTAGGGAAATGCATTTCGCAATCAGAGAGAGCGCAGAGTCACGCACCATAGGGGATGCATCGGTAGCACATCGAAGAATAACACGCATCACCGATGTGTCCCTATCGAGAAGGCTTGGGTCCTTCTCAAGCATGTAGATAACGCTTTTCAAACTGCGGCTGCGGACTTTGGCTTGGTCACTGGCAATAGAATTAAGTAGAACCTTCAAGATCGTATCGAAAGCTTTGCAAAAGCTCGAGTTCAGAACGGTCACTATGTATGAGAATCTTCCATGCGCAGCAGATATATTATTAAAATGCCTATTAAACCTATTAGGGTCGAATCAGCAACAAGCACTTCACCCGATTACTTACCTGTGGGTTTCCAGCCACAGTGGGTCAGAAAACAATTTTGCAAAAAGATCGACAAGGTTTTCAGTCATATCATCATAAGTAACATCGTCCCTCTCGTCTGCATTATAATAGACTGAACAGAAAGACTTTGCCCACTGCGCCAAATAGTAACCCCGAGCACTGGTGAGCTGCCAATCGTCTAGGTGACGAACTTGAAGAAAATACTCCAGAGTCATCCGATAGGGGCCTTCTGCGACAACGAGATCTTGAGGATGGAGGGCACGCCCGGAGTAATCTTCAAATAACTGTTTTAGAAAGTCGGTCAGCTCACTGTCAGATTCTTCCATGGTTGGAAGTAAATGCTGGGCAGTCACGATAAGATCTGATATCGCAGATCCCATCCAGCCGAGGAGCTCAAGTGCCATGCTCTTTGCAGTAGCAGGGCTCTTATCCAGGTCGGCAATGCCAACCATATGAGAGGCCATTATGCGGAGAAGTAACTCTGCGGCAGGCCAGTCTGTCGACCCTAGGACGCCAATCAAATCCTCGGTAAACAAATCAAGGATGTTCCGATACGGCTGATCACCTGTTTTGGTGGATGTCATTGCTCGTTGAACAATAAACTTCACTATATACTGAGCACTGCGGACGGCATTATCGTAGAGGCGATTGACCTTCGTTGCTAACTGCTCCATGGTCAATTCGGTTCCATCATCATCATCTTCCCTTCCGCGTGGATCATCCAGCTGTTCATCTTCGCCGCCGTCACCTGAAGGTGGAAGTTTAGATTTCGTTCTTGATGAACGTGACGTCGGTACATCTAACGCAGTTGTCTGAACCAGTTGCATGACCAATGCCGTTAGAAGCTGGATATTTTTGCCATCAGCGAGCTTGAACTGTCTTGCACTTTGCCGTGTTGACGGCAGCTTTTCCAGAGAAACTAAAATCTCATCCAAGATAAATGGGCGCTGAGCGGGGTATTTAGAGAATACTTTGGCAAGGACATCCATAGCCCCGCGTCGAACGGACTCATATTTCTGGAATCCCACTGCAGAATCCTTCTCTGTGTGAGAATTTTCTACAAATATCAGTTTGCAAGCAAAAAATTCAGCCGCTGTGACAGTTCCTTCAGAAACGTCTATCCGTGAAAGGAAATCAGCGAAAAGCGCAAGAGCCTTTTTGCTTTGCTGAATCAATCCCCCGATAACACGTTTCTGGGCAGAGAAGAACTCAAAATGACGGGCCTCTTTCCCACCGGGTCGAGCTTCTACAGCAGGGATGACACAGTGGTCGAATGTTTGATTGAGAACGTTCGGAATGGCCTCGATCAGATCCTCAGGACAAAGGTCTCGTTCCGTCTGAGAGCCCGACATAGTCAGTAATAGGGTACCTACTGCAAGAAGAGCATTGTGCATATCGTCTATCTTCTTCAGCCATTCTTGCGCTTCGGAGTCGTTGGAGGGATCCTCCAATCTTAAATCAGGTGATTGTGCAGCAATGACGGGCTTCTCACAAAGCTTCTGAATCCTGTTCAAATAGTCCGATGGGATATCCTGGAGTCTGTTGAATCCCACTACCTTCCGGATAGCCTTCTGGAGACGACTGTGGATATCCGAAGACAGAAGCGATCCGCTGATATCAAGCGCCCGGGGAGCCAAAAACACCGCGTTTGGGTGCTCAACCGTCGTAGCAGACGTCATGCCTGGTTCTAGTTGATCCTCGGCTTCGAATATTTCATGAAGTAAGTCCTGAAGCTTCACTAGAGCTGCGTCTGCCTCCTCTTTCTGGTCCTTGAGCCGGATTGCTGCAAGGTTATCGTCCCCATCAGTATTGAGCTTCCTCCGCTTTGAAACAACACGATTATCAGCGTCGGGAGGTACCGATTTGATTGGAATCACTACGGACAAGTTGCTCGACATATTATTATGTTGATTGTAGGGCGCGGGCGTCGATTTATTTGCCGCATGTGCTTTCGAATTCCAGGAACTAGCCTTTTGAGAGCGCTTCTCATCCTCAGCTTGCGATGGCGTGGGATCTGTGACATGTCAGTCTAGCGTCTAACTGGTTGGAATAGGCCAACCTTACAGCGAAATGCTATATCTGTTGATTCCAACATCATTCTCGCGAATGAGCCCAGATTGCTGCGACTGGAAGTATGCTCGTTGGAGAGAGTGGGAAGGGGACGTTGGTCATTACGAGAGGCTATAGGAATCTTGAACTTGCTGATGAAATCATGAGCTTTATTTCGTAACTGTGAGGTATTGGAGACGCTTACAACTCGGTTAACTGGTCACCATCCAGCAACTGTTGCAGATATTCTCGAGATGTCTCTAACCGGCTGGACTCATCACGCCCAGACGAAACTTCGTCGTTGAGTTCGGTCAAAGTAGTACGGCCGGATTGAAGGATATGGTTGATAGAGGTAGTATTAGGGGGCCGACCAACATCAGGACGTAGTATGCAATCTACAAAGAATCGTGTATCAGCTAGCGGTTACCATGTCCCGTTAGGCTTCATATCAAATCACCTAGGCCAAATATTGGAGAACTGGACATGGGTGAGTATTGCAAAGCATCTTCCACATATAACGGCTTGTCCCGGTGCTGTGGTAGCCCACTGGGCGTGTGAGCCTGCGCTTGAGGGCCATTGATGACGACCTGAACGGCCGGATGCCAGTTGCGGTCCATGATGAACTGGGGGTTTCGTTAAGGGAGGATTGGAGTTGAGGACCCAGGCGATTTGAAAAGAAGGAAATGGCATGCTCCTACTGGAGACATGGCTTTCAAGCAAAAGACTCAAATCTCATCTCCGTCCTAAATCCTGTCTTCTTGAGAGACTCCACGATAAAAACAATGCAATAATTATTATCATGCCAGGCACGGGTCTCTTGCCGCTGCCGTTTCTGACCGCCCGGCACTAATCATGTATGTCCATCAGGAAGTGGCCCGTGCTCTGGGAATTCTTTCCGCCAGCCAACCAGCCAAAGAAAAAAAAAAAAGTAGTACTAACTAATCGCTCCAGATACCTCTTACAACTACAAGTTTATTCAAGCCACCACTTGTCAAGATGTCTGCGATTGGGTCCTTAATTTTCTGCAATGACTGTGGAAATTTATTAGATGAGTCGTCTGGTGACCCTACAAAACTCATTGTCTGCAGTATCTGCGGAGCTCGTAATCGAGGTAAGTTGATTTCACTCGGCGAAGTCTCTGCCTGGCTCATATTAACCTCATTCGCCTTTCAGACATTGTCCCTAAAACTATCGTCTCTGAATCCAAAGCGAGTGCATTCCCTTCGACACTGAGGGCAAAAAGATCTGCAGTCCAGAACTTGACAGCTGCAGATAAAAGGACAGAAGCTCTTACACAACATACTTGTGCGAGATGTGGTAGGAAAGAGATGTATTTCACAACTGTGCAATTGCGCAGTGCAGACGAAGGAAGCACGGTCTTTTACACTTGCGTTTGCGGTTACAAGTATGCCACTTGACTTCCATTGGCCCTCGATGGTCATTCGTGCACGATGCTAATATTTGATTTACAGGGAGACACAAAACAACTAAACATCAGAAAGGACTTCTATTTTGGGTTCGCGGCTGTACATCTATGAAGCGAGTATCAATTAAGCCACTGTAATCTTTTTTAGTTTACGGAAATTCATCAAGCAGCAGATACAGCGGCCGGGGCTGCTGAATCCGGTACCAACGCATACTCCATCTCCCCGTTCTTCTCATACTCCGCCATATCTAGAGCCACAATAATGCTGTCTCTCACCACCTGCTCTGGGTCGTGCAAGAACTTCTTTAGGGTGTCCTCCACACCTTCAACATCACCCAAGCTACCAAGAGCCTCAGCAGCCTCGTGTCGTACCATACCCATTTCTTTCTGATCACTGAGGGTTTCTGTGAGACTAGGAACAGACGCCGGGTGGCAGAGCTGACCGAACACAAAGGCAACTTCATGGCGGAAGAGAGCAGACGGGTCCTTGAGTCCTTTAGCTAACGCTTCGACAGCTTCGACAGCTGTTGGAAGATCAGGGGGCGAGGCAAGGTCGCGCAGGGCAAACATAGCGCGGTATCTTTGGAACAAAGGGAGCTTTGTGTTGAGCAATGTTTTTTCCAAGTCGGAAATAGAAGGCTGGCTGGACGCCATTGGGAGTGGTGGGGCTGGGTCAATCGAGGTAAAATCACTGCATTGAAGAAACAAATACAATTAGAAGAATTTCCCAAAAACAAAGCTGTTAGCGGATATGGGAGCATTTGAAACGGTTGTAGTACCTAGGCTTCAGTTTCTCGCTCTTCCTTTCTTCCGAATTCTCCCAGAGAATTCTGTCGACGGCGATGTCACATGTCTCTCTAATAACATCCTCTTCTTTCTCATCATCCCGCAAAGCTTTCAGGACACCCAGACTAGTGTCAAATCCCAGAGCACCGAGACCCTCCGCGGCTTCATGGCGACACATTGCATCTTGTTCCGTGTTCTTCACCACTTCCAGCAAATACGAGACTGCATCTGGATTACGAGTCTGGCCCAAGCAGTATGCGAGCTCATGCTTCAGCAAAGCCGAGGACGACGTAAACCCCGCTGCGATGGCCTGGATTGCAGGCAATGTCTTCTCGGTGGGCGGTTGCAAACAAGCAATGTACTTCAGGGAGAACAGGGCGCGGAATCGGCGGGCAAGCGGCTCGGACTCATTGACGAGAACTTTGCGAAGAGTCAGGATGGTTTCATCCACTCCCTCAGGGTGGTCAACTGCAGTAGAAGTCATTTTATATCTAGTCTGTATGTTTTCGCGATAGCCCAAGAGCAGAGGGAAAGTATGAAATCACAGAGTGAGTATATGTAAATTTTCGATCTTATCTTCACCAGATAATAAATTTTAGGTGGGGTGGCGGGGTTGTCCGGCCGCAACTAGGCCTGAAAAAAAAAAGGGAAAAAATTAGTACTTCGACATCTTTTCTGACTTAAGGCTTAGTACCGGAGTTTGCGAGAGTCTCTCATTCTTTACCAAAATTTTAGGCAAATATTCTTTCGCAGAGTTAGTAGGTTATATATGTGGGACTTGGGAATTTACCGTTTATACGTATGTATAGTTTCTAAGGAGAGACTATATAAAATTTATCTACTCTTCCTTTCACCCAGTTATTATGGAGACTTGCAAAGTGCAAACAGAAAATAATTCTGGTTATAATGGACTTGGATTTGTTTATAATTAACCAGAACGCTCAGAGTTCACATATTTTTTTTTTTTTTTGGTTTAGCTGCATGCCGTCTGTTATAAAGCTTACAAGTGCAATTCGTATGTACATGAGTATTTCAATCATTATCTTAAGTCATCTGCATTGGGTAAATTAATATAGAAGGGTCTATCGTAAGAGGCAGTTATATGCACACGCACACGCTCACTACGTCATTCGCAAATCTTCACAGAAGATAAAAAAAATATTAAAGATCGAGAGGTGCTGCTGTGAATATTCGCTTTCTCTTGGCGTAAACGAGCTCCTCTGCTATGTTTATAGGCAAAATGAATCGCGCCCTTCAGTCGAGCTGGTACAACACTCTAAAAGCCATGGAAGTATTGGGCAGAGCTGGCTAGATAGCTTTCTCGGTCATTGGGAGCACAGACCGAAATCAGCCCATGAAGAACTATAAGTACGTGCTCCCCTGTCCAGTGAACCGTCCCGCCTGGGTGGTCGGGAGTCTGGCCTTCAGTCTATGGGCCTTGAAAGCATGTTAAAGAGTCATGTAACACCTGAAAGAGCAATTCCGAAAGAGTAAAAATCTGGGCTTATGTACAAGATACACTTGATGTAATCGATTATTTGGTCCTGATGTGCTTGATCTTCTTCGGTTCGTGAACGAAGTTGTTCGCATAAGCCTTAGGAACGAATCTGCGCTCATTTGGCTCCTGAACAAAATACTCATAGCCTTGCTTCTGCGCGAACATAATGGCATCCTCCTTGGACTTGAAGTTCAGATGAGTGCCTTGCATATTATCAGCAGACGATTGCCAGCCCATCAGAGGGTTTTCCCAGCGGTGGCCCTTCTGCAACACATCCCAATCCATCCTCCAATGGTGCTGGTGCCAGGTACCAGATTGCGTGGCGGGCTTCGAGGGGCGGTAGATTCTAAATGGCATAATTAGCGTTTGAGATGGATTTTCGAAGGTTGCATCTATACCTGACAGTACGAGCCTGGAGGTCGGTAGGAGCACCAGAAAGAACAGCAGCTGGAACGGTGTCGCCGGGCTCGCTTCCATCCATGACACGTTTAGGCACAGGAGAGAATTTCCTACGTCTCTGTCAGCCAAATCGCTCCTGGTGTTACGTGGAGTCCCTTACGAGGTGCCGTGATCAATTGTGGCCTCATAATCCGGTTGGTGACGAGCCATTGCCTCAGCAGGGCCCTCCTGGCGGATCAATGAGCTGTCCTTGGGAGGTACCGCCGGGGCATCAGCAGGGCTGGTTTTCACGGAAGGGTCGCCTCGACCGGTGTTAGTGGACAGAAAACGAGCATTGATAGGTGCGGCAAGCCGGCCAGCTCGGAAGCAGGCGAGATTTCCTGCTCTGAAAAGCGACATTGTGGCAATTGTGTCCCTCGTTGGCTGAGCAGAACAAGACGCTGAGGAAGTGCAATTGCCAGGTGAGGTATGCGGCAAGTTGCTGGTCGTTAAGACGAATCCAAATCCGGTTAGCGCAGCATGAGGCTCCCTGCGTTAGGAACCGCTCATCCGACAACCCGCTTTCTGTTGGCACTTCCCTTCTCTCTGCCATTAGCCCATCATCTCAGTCCACTTGCTCGTATCAAGGTAAGAAATATGCTTATAAGATAGATCTTGTCTATCTTAATATTTACTGGTGTGTATTTCAGACTTTTCTAACCCGACTTAGTCAAACAAGATGAGCTACATCACTCGCCGAGGTCTTTCGACCCTGATCCCTCCCAAGGTAAGAACCCGCGAAGAGAACGAGAACTGACGGGAATATTTTGAACAAACGATACTGATTCGTCTCTAGATCGCTTCTCCTAACGTGAGACTCCCTTCCCCTACCGTCATGCTCCCCGACAGCCATTGAAGTCGATCTGCTCGGAACAATTTCTTTTTTCAATGCGGCTCGGGACACCGTAGCATACAGTTTCTCCCGCTCGTTACTGGATTTCACTGACACTTGGAAAGGCGATTGGTGCTGCCAAGGATGCTGCCCGTATGGACCGCGTTGTGAACTTCTATGCCCGCCTTCCCCGTGGCTCGGCTCCTGAAGTTAAGCCTACTGGTCTCATTGGCCGCTACCAGGCTCGTTACTTCGGCAAGAACCCCTCTGCTGCTCGTAAGTAGTCACTCTCGCTCCTAAAGGTATACATGGCATTCGCTGATAACCAAATAGCCCTTGCCCACGCCATCGGTGGCATTCTCCTCCTCGGCTACAGCATGGAGTACTACTTCCACCTCCGTATGTTTTCCTTTCTATACCGTACTATGGGCGTCGAGAATCTAACACAAGTCTAGGCCACCACAAGAACCACCCCCACTAAATTTTCTCGCTATGATTTGAGGGGCGCGGAAGATTTGTGTATATACCGCTGACCTAGAATGAAGGCAATGTAGAACACATTCAGGCTTTTTTATTACGTTTTACAGACGCCTAGTTAGTAGTGACTCACCGTTGTCTCCAGATCATTTAGGATTGTGTCATAGGATGACTAAAGCAACAATGAATCATATCTTGCGCTACTTCAAGGAATGAGCTTTAGTCATGTTAACTATAGACTGGTATTAGTGACAAAAAGTCTGGATCATGTGAATACAATAGACTAGGATTGAAAAGGAAGAAAAGAAGTATAGCCTGAAGAAAAAAGAACAGAAAAACGTAAATAAAAAGGCACGTATCCACTATTTAAATAGTTCCCAATATCACTACTTGTAATAAGAAAATAACAAGGATACTAGTGAAGTGAATGTCAGCATCGGCCGCAACAGGTCCAGCCACAAAGGTTTGCTTTACGGAGTACTTCACTCGTCCCACGCTAACCGAAAACAGCCACCCTTAGTCTCAACCTGAACCGCCCATCCGTCCATGACTGCTGCCATCACCCGATCACATCAACCTGAGAAGCACCACTTTACTGTTGAACCTCCCTTTGGGGACTAACTGGGCAGCTGGCTCTCACTCTTCTACTAGAATTTCCCGCCCGCCCGACCTTGTTTCACCGAGTGTTATCTCTTGTTCTCTACCTGGGACATTCTCCGCTGTCCACCTGGTCGCTTGGAGCTTTTCACGGCTCAGGCAGTTGAGCTAATAGTTCGACCGTGGCGATTCTCGATACCTGACAATAGGTACTTCTCAGACCGTTCCTTCAAGTTTAGCCATGAGTTCAACCTTATAGTCGCCACTTGTTTCAGTGTTTACAGTTTCAGAACGCTTCTCTAACAGATGTCGCAACCTGTTGGCCTCACAGACTCGAGAATTGTTATGGCAGAGCAGAGCAGCCACGATGTGGTAAATCAAACCCTGTCGGGCGGCGAGCCTTCGCCTTCCGACGTTCCTGCGAGCACCAACGACAAGAAACCTGCCGGAGGGGACGTGGGGGAGATCAAACATACCGCAACAGATACACAGCTCGAAACAATTACGAACGCTGAGCAAGGCACGCATGATACGAGTTCATCCGAGACGTATAACGAAAAGAATGCCCCGGGGAGGGATACGGAACAATCGACGACCGTGAGTCTTGGTTACCCGGGTATTACAAGGGCCCCCATACTGAATTAGACATAGGATAATTCGAGGCAAGGTCCTGGGCCAGTGGCGACAAGGGCACTTGAATTAAATGGAGTAGCATCCGGTTCCGATGTTGGAGAGGATACGGCCTCTCAGGGCGGCTCAGAATCTGACGCCAGTCGAACGGAGAGCAGACTTAACTCACGTGCAAGTTCAACAAAGAGGCCTACATCATTCAAGCCAGTCTCCTTCGCAAAGTTTTCAGTGCCCAAAGCTCCAGGAACGCCCCCGACCGCTAAGATTGCTGAGAAAGGTATTTATCCTTGCCAAGGTGCCACGCCAATTAGAAGTCTAACCGATCCTAGCTCCGTTGTCTTCAACTACCCCGCTGGGTGTACCGTTGCAGAGCTCACGACCACGCTTGGTCGCGAAAACCACTAGCAGCTTACGCGACTCACTATCGAAAACTGGGACGAGTGCGGCGAGGCCAGCTGGAAGTGGGCCTGACCCAAATCAAGTTTGGAATAAGAACCGACGTAAGGCAGTATCGATAGACTCTGGAAGTCTCCGCTAATTATGAATTGTGTACAGCGGTCCAGCAGACTCCACCGAAACACTTGACGGACGAAGAGCTTAAGCAGCAGTATGGAATCCACATGACGTCGCGTATCCAAGAAGATGGCGGTGGAACAGAGGCAAAGTGGGCCGATATTGATGATGATGAAGATGACTGGGCGCCGGAAACAATTGAATGGACTGATGGAACAAAGACAAATCTTTCTCAAGTGGAACACACTGCGGCGCCAAAGCAAGAGCGCAGGCCGTCGATGGAAACCAAGGACGACTTCCCGCCTCCACGCCCTGAGCAAGTCCCCACTACCAAAGAGACTACCAAGTTTGTCCCAAGACCTACGACTTCAGTTGGACCGAACCCCACTGTTCTCAGGCTGGGGGCAAATGCGGAAAGACAGGCAAAGAGCGCAAGCATCTCTTCTAAAGGTACTAACGACAAATCGCCGTCACTATCTACAAGTCCGGCGCCACCCCCAGCTAAGTCACCATGGGCTCCTCTACCACCAGTCGAGAAAATATCTCCTGTTATACCTCCTGTGCAAGTTCAACCTCAGGTACATACTTCGCCCAGAGAGCCACACACAATCGACCGTTATAGCGGCGTTACTCATCCGAAGGAGATTGCCGCAGACGACTTCAACCGGTCATGGAAAGACTCGCAGTCTGGTACCCGTGAGCTATACAACTCCCGGTCGGGTCGGTATGAGCCAGTATCTGAAACTAGGAAAGGATCTTGGCGCACTGAACAGAGCTTCCGCACCCCCTCCGTGTTGCAGAGGCCCGCACAGGGCGAACAGGCAGGACCTGCGGAGCCTTCACCCGCGTTTCAGACACATAGATCAAGCGGACAGGATGGCATTCACTGGACACGTCGGCGAACTTCATCTAATGTCAGCGGAGGAAGTGGCAGCTTTGCACGTCGGATGTCAATTGGTCGAACCGATGCAACTCAACGGTCATTTGAAACTAGAAGAGGATCACAGGCGAACGGTATGGCCGAACCCCCGTTGCCGGGATTGGTGCCTCAACAGGAGACACCTTTGCGGGATCCTTCTCCTGCTCGACATGGCCCCGGTCATTCCTGGCCTCCGCGTGGTGCGGCCGGCGTACATGAAAGAGCTTCTGATGCACCTGATGGCACGAGTCAGCCATATGTTCCTTATGCTGTTAACCAAACTGCGACCCCACAGGCGCCCCAGGAAGATCCAGTTGCCATGCAAGAACGTATTATGAAAGAAAAGAGAATGGAAGCTCGGCAGCGAAGAATAGAGCAAGAAGAAAAGGAGGAGGCTGCCAAACGGGAAAGGATCCGGCAAAAGCTCGAAGCCCTTGGTCCACCTCCTGATAAACCCAAGTCGCAGCGCAAGGAGACTCTGGAAGGCAGTAAGCCTGACACTGTTCCCTCCCCCGGTGTTGTTCATACATCGTTGTCCCCTCCCAAACCCCCGGTTCCGGAACCGACGGGAGAGCCAAAGCAATATGGAATGATGAAGGTTCATCATCCCGACACTGTAAGAAAGTTGGTGGAGAGGGAAAGAGCTGGGGAAAAGTCTTCGTCGACGGCTAATTCCCGACGTGCCCCTTCACCTCCCCGGGAATCCAAGTCTGACACTAGCACGACGAATGGACTCCAACAGCCTGGTGACTCTCAAACTCAAGCGCCTGAAAAATTGACAGAGAACAAACTCGATGAGCAGTCAACCCAGTGGAGGGGTGGCCTTAACGCTTCTAGTTCGTACCCACCGTGGACTCCCAATGCCAAATTAGTCGGGACCTCTCCTTCCATGGCGAATCCTTGGAAACCTCTTAGTAGTGACAAGACCTTGGGTAATGGTATATTTGAACAGGGTCTTCCCGGGTTTCCGCCAGGAAGAGATGTTCCACTGCGCAACCCGCTTGTTTTGGATCAGCCCCCTGTCGCTTCAGGATCACAATCGTTCTCTACACCTTCGCGCTCGCCTCAAGAAAGTACACCAATATCCCCCATATCGTCCCCTAAAGTTAGGCATGCACCATACGAGTCTTTGAATCCCATCGCCCGTCCTGGACCTATTGGACCTCCAAGTTCGCAGAATCAATGGCAACATGACAACCGTGTCGTTGGGACCGTTGCCTGGAACAATTTCCATACAGTTGCTGCCAAGCGCGAAGCAGAAGAAAATGAAAAACTTCGTAATGAGATGAACGCTGCGCGCGAGGGACCATCTTCTCTACAGGTAACTTTCAACGAGACTTGGCGGCAGGTACGGACTGGAGACCAAGCCGGGCAAAGACAGGTTGTTGGTATATCTAGAACAGCAGATACCAACGCACCGAATCCACCAAAT